GAAAAAGAAAAGAATAAGGTGTAAAGGAAATTACTTTTTAACCTTTTAATTTAGTGTAAGCCAAATCGGATACGAAGAAAGACATGTCAATACAACGCATCTAGCATATTTTTATTGAGAAGTGAAACTCTATCTTTTTTGTTTTTTTGTGCTAAAATGAAACTCTATCTTACTTGACCAAAAAACTAATAAATTTGACCATTATACAATTTATACCTTATATTTCAAGATTATATAATATATTTCGACGGCAAAAAAGTATATAATATATTTCTCTGCTATGCTATATAGCGTTAAATTTTTTTTGTCAAAACTAGTGGCAAAGACGTATATGTATTTTTTTTTTTTTTGAGAAAGAGAAAATACATGTAAAATAGTGTGTTATTAAAAAAAAGATAATGAGATATTTGTTAAAAAATTCACACGAAATCTATGTTAAAACACACACACACACACGATAAATAAAGCTATTAATTTACTATCATTTTTACAATTTTGTAAGAAAATAATAGTTAAAATAAAGCAATATATTGCTTTTCTTTGATATAATATCATTGGCCAATTTTTCTATTCATGAATCCTTACAATACAACTCATTAGAAAATTGATACCACTCAAATTCTACAATAATATAAGGTCTTGGGCTTTACAACGAAGCACGCAACAAACCATTTCCTTATAGTATAATATAAAGTGGTTTTCTTGAATTTAAAAGTAGGGTTTGTTTCCATTATATATGTCTTGTTGTAATAATAATAACTGAAAATGACAACTGTATCCTTGTCTTCTCTTCAACCTCTACTCGCACCGCGAATCTCGCTCTCAATTATCTAATTTGTAGTATTGTACTATTACATGAATTTCATCTATAAAATCATAAGAAAACCCAATAAAACCATCGTTGGACTTAGACAAGTGTCGATTAACAGAGATAATATTATCTAAAATCTCTATTAGAATGTAAGTACGTAGGATCATTGATCGTGATCATAGTAAATATAAACTCAGATATCGTGAATATAGAACATAAAAAATCAAATAAATTATTTACTGTAAATATGGTGCATATACAATTATTTACGTAAATTTTATCCGGTACAGATAAAAAAAATTATTGTAAAATTATTGGAAGCTTTTTGATCTCATGATTGATTAATAGTTCATTAATGTAGATTTGGGGTTCATTTATAAATACTAATAGAGATAAATTTATATGAGATTTTCGACGTGATAACAGAAAAAATCGTTTGTATTGGATAAGACTATAAATTTGTCTAAAAAAACAAAAACTTATAGAGTATATTTGCTAAATAACCCAAAAAACTTTTATAATTAAAAAAATGACTAAATTATGGAGATTCTTTTGGAAAGCTATTGGGAATTTTGGCTACTTTTCCTATCATTGTAAGTGTTTTTGGATATCAAGTGCAAATTCTCAAACTTATACTACCCAGTGAAAAAAATACAAACCAAAAACGGTGTCGTAATAGCGACTTATCGTCTTTCGCCACATGGTCTCGTTGGATACATAAAAACGATACAGGC